ATGAAAAGTATGCTTACAGACAGAACTGGACGACAGAGGTCCTGTTACCAATTAATCTTAACCATTAAAATTTCTGCAAAAAAAAAAAAAAAAAAGAAAACAATGCATTGATTTCAGGAAAGGCTTTGAGTATTAATTATCCAAAAAATTGTTTAAGAAAGCTCCTCCATTTTGGCAATCCTCGGTTTTTTAGGGTAAGGAGTTGTTGCTAAGGTTTTTATAATCAGTTCTGTATTTGGTGGAGTTGAATTAGTGTGATTGGCTGCTTACAAGAGTCTGCTTACAGTCAACTGTCTAACTACTACTCGAAAGAATTATAAGTGAAAGATAAAGCGCCTAATGTACCGATCACATTAAGGGAAAATTTTAATTGCTAGGATTAGGTCTGTAATCCTACCAGTAATAAAAAAAGAAATACTCGTTAATTTCGGGTACTATTACTGGGTGAATTTTAGGGTACGAATTACTGTTCTCAGTTGATCAAAAGTATGAAAAAAGTTGAGATTCAAACTTGCACGACTAAAGCGCATACATGACCCTTGTAGCGAGAATGACACTTTTGATCAAAATGGTTATATAAAATGTGGGGGTAACTACTTGCGAAGGACTACTTCTAACAAATGTTCATTTCATCTCTGTTATATAGTATTGTCAATCTAAGATGAGCCAACAGCTTCGTCCAGTTTGGTTTCTAAGCATACCATGCGTAAACATCAACACAGGTTTTGCCATTGTTACCGTCATTCTCTGAGCAGTCCTTCCAATCCTGTCCGTACCATATCTGCATCCCTTGCTTGCATGACACAGAAAAAGGAAAAGGTTGCAATTGTGAAAAACGAGCTCTGGTAATCTAGGATTGGTTCGATCAAGATTATAAAAGTGTTTTTCGGCTCCACATGCGTGACCAAGGCTGCGCTTAAATACTTCCAGGTCATCATCTGGTAGGATAGCGTTTTGATTGTCATCAATCTTCCCTGATATGTTTGATAGCACTAGTTACATCGTTGCAGCGTACCCACCCTGACCTGTGAACAGGCTTCATTGTCTTCACTCGTCCACTCTTTCTCATATTAAAAGCGCCATACTGATTATCTTCAGCTCCAAAGCAGACGGGTTCTTCACCATTTATCTTTTGCCAGCTATCTAAGATAAAGTATACCACTAATAGGACTGATGACTGTAACTGTATAAATAGCTACTGGCAGTTATTCTATGTTGTAATTGCGAATGAAATTAACAGTCATTTCAAAGATGAGGTAAAGTCTGTTTACGAACCTAGTGGCCCATTAGGCCGGTGCTTAACTCCAGTTTCTGTAGCATGAAGCGAATAGGAGTATTTCTACTCCCCCCTGGATGGGATGCCAGTCCATCGCAGGGTTACCCCCAGCATTAAACTGCCGGTACCCATTT